AACACCACAAAACCTTTTTTTAAATATAAATGTTAAGAAAATTTTTTTAAGGAAGAAAAAGAAAAAAAAAAACCACAACACTTCATTATGTTTAGGGGGAAACTGTATTTTAGGGTTCATTGTCTTGGTGGTGTACAAGACTTGTTACTCATTTTAAAATGGTAGTGGAAATTCTATGCCTTGGATATACACAGCTCTTCAGGTTGTATAAAAACATGCATTGGGGAAAGGTTTTAAGATTATATAGTACTTAAATATAGGAAAATGCACACTCATGTTGATTCCTATGCTAAAACACATTTATGGTCTCTTTTTTCTGTATTTCTAGAATGGTATTTGAATTAAATGTTCATCTAGTGTAGGCACTATAGTATTTATATTGAAGCTTGTATTTTTAACTGTTGCTTGTTCTCTCAAAAGGTATCGATGTACCTTTTTTGGTAGTGGAAAAAAAAAAAAAACCACAGGCTGCCACAGTATATTTTTTTAATTTGGCAGGATAATATAGTGCAAATTATTTGTATGTTTCAAAAAAAAGAAAAAAGACAAAAAGACAAAAAAGGTGTGACATTGTACAGATCCGAGGCCATATAATGGCCCTTTGGGGGAAACCTGTTCCGATGTCACGCTGCTGGCCGTCACAGAGGGGTGTACATATCTTTTTTCGTTCTTTTTTCCTGCTGCCATACTGTATGCAGTACTGCAAGCTAATAACGTTGGTTTGTTATGTAGTGTGCTTTATGTCCCTTTCCTTCTATCACCCGACATTCCAGCATCTTAACTTCATATGCAGTAAAAGAAAGAAAGAAAAGAAAGAAAAGAAAGAAAAGAAAAAAAAAGCTAAAAAAAAAAGAAAAAAAAAAAAAAGAAAAGAAAAAACCGTTTTGCAGTTTTTTTCATTGCCAAAAACTAAATGGTGCTTTATATTTAGATTGGAAAGAATTTCATATGCAAAGCATATTAAAGAGAAAGCCCGCTTGAGTCAATACTTTTTTGTAAATGGCAATGCAGAATATTTTGTTATTGGCCTTTTCTATTCCTGTAATGAAAGCTGTTTGTCGTAACTTGAAATTTTATCTTTTACTATGGGAGTCACTATTTATTATTGCTTATGTGCTCTGTTCAAAACAGAGGCACTTAATTTGATCTTTTATTTTTCTTTGGGGTTTTTTTGGGGGGGGAATTTTTTTTAAATTTTTTTTTTTAATTTTTTTTTTTTTTTTTTTTATTATTTGGATGACCAAAGGTCATTACAACCTGGCTTTTTATTGTATTTGTTTCTGGTCTTTGTTAAGTTCTATTGGAAAAACCACTGTCTGTGTTTTTTTGGCAGTTGTCTGCATTATCCTGTTCATACACCCATTTTGTCCCTTTATTGAAAAAATAAAAAAAAAACCTTAAAGTACACAGTGTCAGCTTCTGGTGTCCTCATTTGACACACGCTGTAGGTGGCTTCCAGCAGCAGGCTGTAGGGGAAGGTCCCGCGCCAGGGGCGTTTTGGGGGGCCCGCTCCCAGCCTGGCCTTAAATCAGCCCCCTCTGCCCAGGAAGAGGATTTTTGGGCTCAGGAGTTCACTTTCCGGCCAGTGGAAGGTGTTTGCAGTCTGGACCCGTAGCTTTGGGATTTTTCCCCACTTCTAGATCAGGAGTGAGCTGAGACCCCCTCACCGCGATAGCCCCCGGCCTTCCCTCGGTCTGCAGCGGGGATTTTCCCTCCCCGTTTGGCAGATGTGTGGCGGAAGAGGTGAGCAAACCAGCAGCTCTGCAGCCCCCCGGGACTCCCCCATCCCCGGCTGCTTTTGGGGACGGGGGTGAAATCAGCCACTGGCGCACGCGGGCGCGTGGGCAGGAGCTGATTTCTCTCGGGGGTCTCCCGCCGCGGCTCTGGGATCGCACCGACCCCAGCCCAAAGCTGCCAGCCCCGCTCCCAGCTGGAGCTGGGAGCTCCCTTCTTTTCTCCCCAGGCTTTGATTTTTATTTTTATTTTTTTGGTGGGAATTGCAGGTTTCTGTGCGTTGTCTCTAAAATCCGGAGTTCAGGTCCCCCCTGTCCCCCCCCTTAGGGGTCTGTATATGTTGTCAGTTTGACAAATACTGCATGTTGCAGCATCTCTTTACTTTATTAAAGCACATACCGCTGTGATATTGTCTCTTGCTGTTCCTAGTGTAATGGATTTAATACTTTTTTTTTTCTTTTCCTTTTTTTGATTTCTGTAAAACCTTCCAGTTGTTCTGTCGTCTTCTTGTGATGGCATCGTTTGTTGCCTGTATTTTGCCCGGCGCCTTCTGAAGGGGAGGTTTGGAATTTAAAAAAAAAAATACAGAAATACCTATCTAAAGAAAAAAAAAAAAAAATTACTCCTTTTCTAAAAGAGATTTGAAAAGAATGTAGTAAAGCTCCATTTTAATCCTGGAAGAGGAGGAATGAAGATTTTGTTGTCTGGGTTAGTGGGGAGAGTGCAGGAGGGCTGGAAAGGTGTCGGCAGTGCCCCGTGAGCTGCGCTCCCCTTCAGCAGGCTGGTACCCACCCGCTGGAGCTGGAGTCGTGCCAGAGGGATCCCTAGCACAGCCATGGGGAGGCAGAGCCCCGCCCTGCATGGGCAGCTCATGTGGCAGGGGCACGGACACTGGCTGTTCCCTGGAGGGCCAATGTCCGCAGGGATGGGCTTTGCAGCAGCCTTGATGACACATCTTTCGATCCCGTGCCATGAAATACCTGTACAGAGTCCGGTCTCTCCCTCCCCGTCCATGTTTTTATTGCTGGTTGGTGAGGCCACGGCGGAGATGTTTTCTAGAGGACTGGGGTTAGCTGTGCCCAGGGTCGAGCGTAGCCTGGCTGATTTCAGAGCGGGCTCTGTACCCTGGGTCCGTCCTAGGGTGGCCGTCATCTGGCTGCCTTTCCCTATACGGTGTTTTACTTCTGAAATAATCATACATAAGAGCATCTAGGCAGGCATCCGCATATATCCGTGTACAGGCATCACTAGGTAGATCTGTGCTGCTGCAAGATTAACCAGTGGAAAGCAAACGATTGACTTCTTTATTAAGTGGCACAGTGATGCGTGTGATTCACAGGTTTCCCAGAGCTAAATTTTCCAGGTTTCCCAGAGCTGAACGAGCCCAGCGGGCGCTGCGTGGCACACAGGGCAGGGGCGGTGGTTTGGAGGAAGGAGCTGCGGGAGAAGCGGCTCCTGCTGTAGGAGGAGTTGTCTGAACACCGGCTGGCGAGGGCGTAGCTCGCGAGTGGCAACCCGCTGTCACCCCGACACCAAAGCAGATGCTCATGAATGTGGTGGTTTTCTGCCAGGGGCAATAAGTTAATGGTGTGATGATCCCGCTGAAGTTTGCTGGGTTGGGGCGTGGATGTCCCAGGCACCAGCAGGTGCTCTCGAGCTGCTTTGGCATCCCATGCACACTTGGACTTACGCTCCCCAGAAACTTCCCTGTTTCTGTGCAAAAGGATCTCTCTAGGAATAAGTGATATTGGGGTAACAGCATCTCTATTGTTAAAATCTCAAGCCTTGTCAACTTTTGAGAAGGAACATGTGTTTATGGCATAGACCCTTTAGTGTCTAATCTCCAAATTGAATGATTAATGTAATGAAGGCACTGAAACAGTATCCAGAATTCAGACTACAGATGTTTCATATTTATTACGTTTCCAAGGGCTGAGATAATACAGGAATAAGCGATACCATGTCTTTGCTTGACGTTCAGGGGGCTGTGGCGTACCTGATGAGATACAGTTTTGGGGTTTATCTAAGTGCAGAGTTTGTACCCAACAGAAAAGAGAAACCAGCTGCTCTTTTAGATCCCTCCTTCTCTTTTTTCCCCCAATAAAGGTTGAAACCCACTTTTGGCGGATGCATAGACAAATTGTAGTATTGACGAGGAGAGAGTGATACTGCCCAGAGGGCTCTTTGCCAGAGCTGCTGAAGAGATGCTGCTCCTGGAGCTCACATGCTCGGCTGCTGCTTTCCAACGAGCCATAGGGATGCAGGAGGGACAGGAGGCGTGGGGGAACCCCAAGGTTTTGTGCCCCTCAGCAGGACTTAAGCTTTGCAGTGGTGGTGTGTTAGTGGCCGGGATGGCTGTGCTGCTCTTGGCTGCCTTGGAAGTCGCAGCCAGGTTTAGCTTTAGCCTGGGAACTGTTGGGCTCAGACAGCAGCAGCAACAAGCCCTCCCTGGAGGGAAATTGGGCACAGAGCTCTTGACTTCAGAGGAGACACTCCAGTTAACACCCACTAAAGATCTGGCCTAGGAAGGAGCTGGTTACTAAGTCCTGATGGCAGCTCACACGTAGTAGCCCTTTAACCACTCTTTTAAGTATTAATGAAGTCAATTCCATAGCAACCAGCTCCCATTGGGCTGCCAGGGTGGATTTTGAGGAGTGTGTTGATGATGTGCCAGCCTTGCCACCAGTGTAGCCCCGAGCCTGTGGTGTGGGTAGCGTGGTGCCGGGTGATTGGCCTGGAGCAGGTGCTGGGAGCCGGGAGTTGTTGCTTTCCAGTACCCCATCCCATCCTGCTGCGGCCGATGGCTTTGCTGGGCGTGGGCTGGGGCTGTGCAGCCTGAGCTTTGCTGCCGTGCCAGCGCTTCCACCGTGCCGGGAGTTGGGAAAAGCCCTCCGGGAACCAGCCGCCGTGTGCCGTGTTAACAGTTCCGATGGCTTTAGGAGGCCCTTCAGCACCTGGGGGAAGCCCATGAGGGTTTGGGAAGGAGTAGGAGGAGGTTTGTGAGACAGGCTAGCTTGGTCCTTGCCCAGTAAATCCAGAGGTTTTTCTTCCTAAATGATCCCAGTGGTTTCTGCGTGGTGCCGAGGATGCCGGATGTGGGAGTGTGGCCTGAGAGAGGAAGGGCTCCGTCCTGCCGTGTCCCTTTGTGGCAGTGGGGTGTCCTAGTTGTTAGAGACGAAAAAGAGACAAGAAGTAGGATAAGGGAATGACTCACACCGTGGGCCGTGTCACACCTGTTCTCTCCTCTGTCCCCATGCTCTCTGTAGGTTCGGCGTACCCCCCCAGCTGGCGCAGCGCCCAGGGAGCCCCGGATGTCTGGCAGTTTTCGGATGGAAGTTCAAGAGCACTTAAATTCTGAGAGGAGGTGAAGCTGGGGCGAGCGGCCGGCGGCGTCTCGGCGTCCGGAGGTGGCCTCTGTCCTGCTGGCTCGCCGCATCCCCGGGAGAGCCTGAGGAGTCACCCGCCGACGGCAGCGCTCCCCGGGCTCCTCCTGCCTGCAAGACTATCGTATTTATATTTTGTAATAGAGTACAACACTTCTTTGGGGTTGGTTTTTTGGGGTTTTTGGGTTTTGTTTTTTTTTTTTTGTTCACTGGTTTCTTTTTTCATTTTCTAAAAACAAACAAATGAAAAAAAACCCACCCACCAAGGTCAAGGGCTTAATGATGGCTTCGACTGCCTCCTTTCCCCACGGAAAAGACTGTCTTGCTGTCGTGGACAACCCGGCCTGTTGGTTATCCCCGCAACATGCCATTCCTCGGGAGGCACATCTGATGTGATGAATTAAAAATAAAGCAAAACACAGTGTAGGTCTGTGGGTGGGTGGGAAATTGCCATAATAAATGTTGGAGCTTTAGGTTTTGTTTGCTCTGTCTTTAATTTTTAATGCTAACAAGGGCCAGACGGCTGGTGTGACTTTGTGTTCCCGTGCCGGCTGCAGAAAAGCGAGTGCTGAGTGTTCACCGGGGATGGTGTTGGCACGAGGGGCTGCCTGGCCCCGGCGCACAGACCTTTCCCGCAGAGCTAGGCCAGGAGTTGGGCTTAGGGCCGGGCACCCCGAGCACTGCTGTGCCCTCTCTGGCCTTCGGTGATGCTGAAAGGGAAGGGGTCTCCCAGCTCTCCTGCATCATCCTTGATGAATGCCAGCTGTCGTGTTGCGTTTCTGCTGTTCAGCTGTGTACTTTTGGGGCTGCTGGGATCCGTGACGTCCGCTCGTGTCCGTGTGAGGAGAAGGGAGGCCAGTGCAGGTTTTGGGAGGGGTGATGGTCGTGCTATGGAGATGCTGTCAGTCCAGGGGATGCAGAGCTCTGCCCTGAACAGGAGGAGATATTGCCAGGTTGTTGTCCCAGTGTTTCCCCAGACTTTGCACCAGGGACTTTCCAGTGACGCCCTTCCCTTGCTCGGGAGCACCCACCCAAGGAGTCTCCTGGTTCGGGGCCCAGGCTCTTCACCGAACAGAAGATGGGTGATGTGTGAGCTTTGTGCCGTCTCTGATGGGATTTATAGGCTGTAGCTGCTCGTGCCTGTGCTGACGAGTGGGAATGGACCTTATTTGGTGAAAGAAGCCAGCTGGGCAGCGAGTGGAGCGGCGGGCTGGCCGTGTCAGGCTGCTGGGATCAGCGGGATGGAGCCAAGTCGTGGGGAAAGGGACGGTGGATTTATTGGCTTTGTGTATTGACTTCAATCTCACTTCTTTTTATTCACCTCCTTGCTTACAATCTGAGCGAGACCCTCACTTGGGGTGACTCTCTCCTGGTGAAACGGCCATGGGGAGAACGGTGTTGCCTTTTCCATGGGCTGTGGTTGCTCTTTTGTTGTTTAAAACCCCGGGCTGTGGTTTTCTCGTGGTGGCCTGGGCACAGCACAAGCACAGACACTTTGGTACTTTAAAATTTGGCTGGTGTGGGCAGCAGGAACAGCTCCCAGGGGTGCCACACTGGGAGCCTGGAGGACTTGGTGCACTGGGAACACAAAGGGAGCTTTTGCTGCTTCTTCTAAGGTGACTTGGTCTTTGAGGGCAAACCACCCAAAAGTCTATGCACAGCCTCAGCTTTTTTTATCATTAGGGGATGTTTTTAAAGGTTCTTCCTAACTCAGCCTGTGCTGCCACCTCTGTCTGCTCCTAAGGGGTTTTTGAGCCTTGGAAGGCTGAATCCTCTTGGATTAAGCACCTGATTGATTGTGAGTGCACCAGTGGTGGAGAGTTAGACCTGCCCCTGCCCTGGGGATCTCTGCTCCAGGCAGCTGTGTCAGATCAGGGCTAATGCAGTTATTTACTGCAAAGGGGGTTGCTCTGCTCATTTCTCTAGACTGCAAGTCAGGACTCACTTGCTCCATCTCCACTGCAGCCCAGGGCAGCTGGGAAGCTGCTTTATCAGGGGTTCCAGTGTGCTGGCTCCTTCTGGGGTGTCTGAGCCTTGCTTTGTGTGAGCACGGGCCAAGCTCCATTCACAGATGTCTTCTGGGGTAGCTGGTTATGCTTTTGCTGCTCTGCCTGGTGGAACAAGTGTGATGGGATCTGCTTTCTCTGGCTGTGGCTTGTCTCTCCTTCAGCAGGCAGCGTGATGGCAAGGGGTTCTCCCAGGAAAAGCAAGAAATAACCAAGTGGGGATGGCTGAATGTGTTCTGCCAAGCACAGAAGCGATACCTGAAGTGCTGAAGGTGTAGTCAAATAGTCTTTAAAATGTCTATTTTTTAATACAGTTGTTAAACTTCTCCCCAACTCTTAGGACTTTGAAACATCTTCAGAATTTGTGTTGCCTTAAAGTTGCAAACAGGTGCAATGTCTGTGCTGAGAGCCCCTTGAAAGCCACAGGGCTCCTCTCCCTGGCTGCCAGCCCTGCTCCAGGCTCTGCTGGGGCTCTTGCAGGGTTTCCACTGCCCTGGGTGACCTGAAGGGGCTGTGTGCTTTAATTAAAGGTGTCATTAGGGTCCTCTTCTTGTCTGACCAGGACTTGGCTGAGTCCCCTTGCTGTGTCTGTGCTTGAGATCACCAGCAGCTTAATGAGTTTCTGCCAATTAACAGGAGTTGAAGGTTTCCTGTGAGGGGAGGGCTGGGAACCTGTTAGCCTCAAAGCTGGAGGTTGCCGGTGCAAGAGGGGCAATATTCCCAGGGGTTTTGTATTTTAGCATATTCTCCAGGTGTTGGTCTGCACATCCAAATTGGAAATAAGGTATGGTTGGTCTTTATTACAAACAAACCAAAACAAAGCTCCTAAAGTTTTGGGGTTCTTAATGAAGAAAAGATAAATGTTCTTCCAGTCCCAGGGGTTGAGATGAACAAGATTCCTGGGAATCACCTGGCTTAACTTTGAGGTTTTGGGTTGAAAAAGCTGCTTTCAGACTTGGAGATGATCTGACTATGCTGTGTTTGATTTCTAAGCACACTTTTCCTGACACTAAAATGCAGCAAAGGTCAAGTCTTTTGTGAAGTCTAGCTTAAATTTTGCTTTCAAAATAATGTATCTTTTGGATTCGTGATGCATTTGGGCTGTGGGCTTTTAGGAGATGTAAGACCTCTCCCCAGAAGGGATCTGAAAACAGATTCTGTGAGTTTCCAAGCAAAACTGCCAAACTCCTTGTGGCTTTTTCTGACCCCAGCTTTCTGCTGGGTCCCACTAAGTGGCTCTGGGACAAGCAGCATCGCGGTGTTGGTGGGTGACAACACAACTGTGGGCTCTGGGGGAAGGTGGAGGGAAGCTTCATCCTCCTTGGGCTGCTGGGGGTTATTTTACCATCTTCAGCCTTTACTTTGGGTTTGCATCTCCTTTCTTGTGTGTGTTTGCGCTGTCTGGGTGCCGGTAAGGCCTGGGGTGAGCCTTCACCTGTGGATTTTTGGCAGGGAGGAAGGGAGGACCTGCTAAGCATCACTGCTGTTCCAGGGTCCCTGCTCTACTGTGGTGTTTCACCTGACCTCACTGAAAAGTCTTACTGGGGAGTGAGCTGAACCACCCCCCAGCCCTCAAAAATGAGAGTGGTGCCTCATTTCCTTCTTTTCTTACTCTCTGCTTCTCCTCCCACCCAGTTTTCCCATTTCAGGAAATCATTCAATTGTGTGTTGTATCTGCTACAAGGCAAATATTGTTGCCCCTCCCTCCCAATTCTCTCCCCCACAAAAATCATCCTCTTAGCATTCATCTTCTGCAGGGGTCCAAATAATCAATTATTCCCAAGGCAAGATGGAGTTGCAGGGGGCAGAACAACAACAAAATAAAGCCCCCAAACCCCAGATATGGCCCTTACTCCTTAATCTCACTGGATAGAGTTACACATCTGGTAGAGGCTTGTTCATTGTTGCCATTACTTTTATTGCATCTTTAGCAGTGATGAAGTTCAGATGGCAGAACCAGTGGGCCCCAATTTAATTTTGCCTGGCCTCCCGTAATGAGCACGATGTGATCCCTGGGAATGCCGGCTCGGCCGCGGTTCTGCGGCCACGGGCAGGCAGAACCCCACGGTGAGGGTGGGAGGAGGGGGAAAATCTGGCATTGGGGACGGTAACAGGTGGGTGGAGGTGGCTGTGCTGTGTGAGCAGCACATCCTGCAGTCAGGGGGATGGATGGGCAGGTGGTTTCTCCTGTCAAAATCCAGATGAGGTGGGCTCCCACCTTTTTGTGGTGGCCGGGGTGTGTGCGCCGCGACGCTTTCTGAGGTTGTTCCAGCCCTGACGGCTCTTCCCTGGCGATTTCCATGACCCTCCGGGTTTCCAGTGGCGATGTACAGAAGCTCCCACCTCCCCCCCAATGTCTGCATGTGTCTAAGGGCTATACAGGACTCATTTACGGGCCTCCCGTCGGTGGGGTATGTGCATGCAAAATGAAGGTTGTATTTGGCTTCTCATATTCGGATCTATATTCCATATTGTGTTGACCAAGAAAAACACCTCAGCCCCTGTGCTGAAGAATGTGATGGACTGATGACTTTCAGAAACGTACTGTAAATCAAGGAGGCTAATAAATACTTGCTATTAATAAAACGGGGCTACTGCCTTTCAAGTTATTTTCACGTTTTACAACATCCTAATTTAAATGGCACAAAGAGGGAGGTGCCTTTGGACCTCTCCTCCTCCCCCAGCACGGTGTGGCTCAGCTTAACCCCCGCAAAGACTTGGGCAGGAGTTTTTCCTCAGTGAAGAGGTTGAGATGGAGCAGCCCAACCCCACGGGGGGGTTGACCCCAGTGGCAGGGTCCCCTTGGCAGAGGGTGGCCTCTGGCTGGGGCGTCCCAGGGCTCTGGCAGAGGATCCCCAGAGCTTGCCAAGCCCAGTGCATCAAAGAGCCCGCAGCCAAAAGCTCCACCACCTGCACCAGCTCATGCTAAACCTTTAATGGTTCCCAGTTGTGAGCGC